GAGAGAGAGAGAGAGAGAGAGAGAGAGAGAGAGAGAGGAAAAACGCAGTGGAAACGAAAAAAAAAGAAAAGAGAATCAGGATGAAAGCTACCAATTTACTTGAAAACGTTTCGGACTTGAGCCCCTTATAAGCCAGCGTTAATGGCCGAGTTTGTAACAAACAGGAACGCACGCATTAAAAGTGATTAGACACTGCACTGTATCAACATCGTGAATATTCGTAATTATCATTGCGCTTTTCGTTGAACGGACGAATGGAACACTGTTTCAACGCGTGCGTTTCGTTTGTGACGCACTGTAGTCGACGCGGACAGCATCTTAATATGCAAGTTGTTAAGCCGCTCCTCGCGCGTGACTTTACGCCGTAGTTTCCTTTATGTCGAAACAATCATTTAGAGTCCGAAATGTCATTAATTCAAACATGTTTCTATGGAGCAGCTTTCAACCAAACACAAACAAGTATAAAGGCGAAGGTGCACGTAAACAAACCAGGCAGTGGAACGATAGCAAACTAGCGAGTAGCAGCGTTTTGTATCTCGGAGAATTTTGAGCTACTTTCTTTAGTGAGTATCCTTCGAAAATTATCAGTTGACCAAGAATTTTGCCATGGGTGGTTGCAATCAGTCCAAAGTTGTGCCGACTTCGTCACCAGCCGAAGAATTGTCCACGGGGATGATCAAGAACAAGTCCGTCTCCTTCTGGAAATTCCTTAAGAACCGTCGCAACATGATTCGGGTAAGTTCATTCATTAGCTTACAAGAATTGTTTCAGCAGAATATTCCAACCTGTAAGTATTCTATAATATTTGTCAGGGTTACAGCTGAAATTAAAGTTTCAAATGTACGAAATTTACCGCGGAATTTGCCGTTGTCTGTTCGTGCCCATTATTGTGAAGGTGTTTTCCTGTTATAACAATAAATGCATCGATGGAATCAACCAACCTCGAATAATTCTAAGAAGTCTTGTTTCGAGTGTGTTTACTTGTTTACATGCACAAATAGAGATATTAAAGAACAAAATGAAACACAGTTTCAAAGATACCTCCTTTGACTGTAGATATTATTCTGGCCGAACTGGTTAAAATAACAGGTAGCCCCTGCCCTGCCCGAGGACCAGCACACTACCAATGTGTCAGACCGTACCATCGTGGGTATAAACAAGCCGCCTTCTCCCATCCACCCCCGCTCGCGTGCCAGTCAAGACGACAGCCCTTCACCGACGTTCAGCGAGGTCAGCTTGTCTCCTTACATGATCACTGAGGAAACGGCTGATGGAGACGAGTTGCTGGAGCTGGAAATTGCCGAACGTCCAACAACACCGGGTAATTTATCGATGGCACCATCAAAACCACCTCCAAAGGAAGTCTAAAACAATATTATTTCATTTACCATTGAAACATTTGGGTTAGGTGCAAGTTTCAGTTGTATGATTCACTTTCTTTACCGGTACTTGCTTCAGATCTCTACGTCTTGGGCACTCCTCTTTTTGCCAAGAAGATCAGCAACAAGAAGAAGCTCCATGCTCGTCAGGAAAGTCAGGAAATCCTTCGGGAACTCCGCAATGCTGGCATCGTGGCTCGTCCAGAGACACGCGCGGGAGGTGTCGCCTACGAGTATTTTGTCAAGGAGAAATTTGGCCTGCTGAAGAATCCGCCAGCCCGCCTGGAGAGGCTGAAGAAAGCGAAGAAGATGAGAGAGGCACGAGGTGATGCCAAGCTGAGAGAAGAGATAGAGAGTCGCATGCAGATGGCTGAAGAACGCCGAAAGGTAAGATGACCAAGAGCAGCTGGCCTGATAAAATTAATACAGATGGAACGATTGACATATTGTAGCTTTAATGGATTACTGTTCAATACTAAAGATAAATGATGTGATTTAAAAAAATTAAATTCACAGCAAGTACTTGACAAGGTTCGCATCCAGCAGACACAGCACTTGGTGTTGGACATCCGAAGAGCCCACAACAACTTGGCCGCTCTGGAGGAAGACAAGATCCAAGCAACAGCAGAACGCCTCCAACAGAAGGAGATCATGTCTCAGGTAAGTAGAGCTGCCCCACACATAGGCCTCAAGCCCCAAATGCAATCACCTCACATCCAGGGATCCGGGTCTTAGTGAGAAGGTCGACGCTGAAGATTTCTTCCTCATAATTATTATATGCACAGGTTATGCAGGGTCGTGCCATTGTCAATCGTGACCTGCGCAACATGCAAAAGAAACACCACCACACCGAAGTGCGCCTGCGTGCTGCCCTGAAGAAGATTGCCGAGAGAGATGAGGAGCTGCGCGAGGCGAGGAAAGTCATCGAAGTATCACCAATGAGAGGCGAGGGACAAGACCACAGACAGTAGGAGGAAAAGGCGGGCGAGCAAAATCTCCAACTAAACAACCATCAACTGTTGGGGAATAATTATGTACTATGTACATGTCGATACCTGTCCAATGGATTTAATTCTTGTACTATGTACATGTCAGTATCGGGGATGATAACATCATTTTGTACTGTGTACAAACGGTCATTACAAGAGGGGGGTTCACATTTTAAAAAGAGAGATAAAACGGAGGGGGTATTTCACAACAGATGTAAATAACCGCTGTCACAGGCAAATTGAGAGGGGAATTATGAACAAAAATTCGTTGAATAACAAAATGAAATTCATCATTACTAATTAATCAAATTCAGCCGGGAGGGGTTCGAAGAATAAAACAGAACAATAGGTCTTTTTATCAACATATATGTTAGGAAGTCGTTTGAGGAGAGCTGAATACCACTTCAACTGGAATAAATACACTGTATCTTTTCATCAAATCTCCTTTAGAAATAATAAATAATCACGTTTGCCCCCATCTCATAAATGAAACTTTGCACTTTTAAACAGGTGAATTTTAGACCTCATACCTTATCCCTTGTCAGTGGAATGTGAGGAAGCGCTCGTTATTTTCTTTTCCTAAAAGGTTTTCTCCAAGTTGGATTGCAATTCCATCAACTTAGGTAGAAAGATATCTTAGCTGATAAAGTGCAAATAACGATCGTTCTGAAGTGTTACATTTGCCCGCTGCCGCAGTTCTGTCTCGAACCATTTTAGTGACAGTATCTCAGTAGCCTTTTTGCTAGTTTCTGTTTTGTTTCGGTTTGGTTGTTGTGTTGGTTGAGGATGATTGCAGTTGATTGTGGATGGTTGTGGTTGATTAGTTTGGTTGTAGTGAAGTCTATTCAGTGTGCTCGACTATGGTGATGATGGTTGTGGTTAATTGTGGTGTGGTGTGGTCGATTGTGTTTTGGTGAGCTTGGCTGTAATTGGTTGTGGCTGATTGTGGATGGGCGTGGTTGATTGCATAGGATGCTGCTGACTGTGGTTGATTGTGGCCGAGGGTGGTTTACTGTGGTTGCTTGAGGTTAATTGTGGTAGAGTGTAGTTGATTATGCTTGAGTGTGGTTGTCTGTAATTGGTATGACTGATTGCGAATGGGTGTTGTTTGATTTTGTAAGATGTTGCTGATTGTGGATGATCGTGGGTGAGTGTGGTTGAATGTGGTTGCTCGTGGTTGCATGGGTTTGAGTTTGCTTGAGTGTAGTTGGCTGTAATTGATGGGTGATTGTGGTTGGGTTTAATTGATGCTGATTGTGGATGGGTGTGGTTGATTGTGGTTGGGTGGATTGACTGTATTTGCGGTTTACAGTGTGGGTGTGATTGATTGTTGTTGGGTGTGGGTGATTGTGGTTGGGCTTAGTGGATATTGTGCCAAGGTGTGGTCAATAGTTCATGGTTGTTTTGCCTCCGTTTTTAGTTTTGGTTTTGTTCAGTTTGATAAATTCATTTGGTCGTCAGGTGACTGCTCAAGCGTTATCAGTTGCCAGAATTGATTGGTAGAAAGTTGGGTAATCGGTTACTATTAGCCGAAAGGCCACTTAGCAGTTGTAGTCAATGGCCAGTCACTTCAGTACCCAATTACTCAATACTGCTATTTTGGTCCAAATTCATATCCGCCTATCTTCAACTCTTCACCATGAATTCTATTCCTTTCTTTCATTCGTCAGTCACTTCATTTTTCCTGCCTTTCTCACCTTAAACCTTTCACTTTCACCTCACGCCTCCTTTTAAAAAAAACTTCTTCCCAACCATCAGCAAGAAGTACGTGTTATCTATTCTGTGCTATACTATTGTCAGTTTAAACAGCGACAGCGCCATTTTAGTCCCAATTCTTTTCTTCCTATTTTGAACTTCTTACCATGTATTCTCAGTTCTTTCTTTCCTTACACCCTTCACCTTCACTTCTTCACGCCTCTTTTAAAAGACTTCTTCCCAACCGTCAGCAAAAAAAAAATATCATAGATTCTATATCGTATGATACAATTGCTTGGCGGCCTTTTGAAGAAGTCTCTCTAGTTTCTTCAACAATTTTCCTGCCTCTCTCATCATCTGTCTCCTTGTTTTCCTCAATAGATCTCTTTAAAAATCCATCCGTTCTCGTCTTGCCTTTCTTTTCTACCTTCATTTTTCCTTATGCTTGTACGGCATTTTGACCTTCGATTAGTTCTCAACGGAATCCTGCAAGTACAAAATTAATTTACAAGCATTTAGGTGGTTCACACATGGCCTGAACAATCATTTTTTGGTTGTTTCAAGGTTCAAATATTTCAGCTTAATGGAAGGTCCGTTAGACTGCATGCTTGAATACGTAAGACCTCGGATATTTTGCGGTCATTTAGAGTTGTCCCAAACGTTTCATTTTTCATTTAGATTACTCATTCATGTATTCCTTTGTATTTCAATTTTTTTCCAAACTCGTTTGCAGGAGTCAATCGCGGACACAGAATTAAGCCTCACATTCCACTGACTTTGCGCATACGCCGTTGCGTCAACATTAAAATCCAACAATATTACATATTTTATTGAAACCCTCTGGCGTGCAATCTTGCAAACAACTGAACTTCAACTTGAAAAAAAACTCTGCAGTATTTGGTTTGTCTTATTAAACACAAATGGGGATTCCTCCAGCTAAAATCGCAATACAAAAATGGCTCTCCTCGAAATGACAATTGACTTCACTTATTTTTTGCTGTCCACAGCATCTTTCACCGGTAATCTTTCAGCCAAATAGTTTAAGATATCAAATAACTGGTAACCATCTTCATATTACGTATGAGCCTGGGAAAACTCTTTGCCTGTTGACCTTTTTTTAAAAAAATCAAAAATAAAAAAAAAACAAAAAACACAAAAGCAAAAAAAAAATTCAAAATTGACAAAATCTAACAAAAAATAAAAAAATAAAAATAAATAAAAAAATATAAAATAAAAAATAAAAAAAATCTTTTAATTTCATTTGTTACTTTTTATTTAGTTATTTTATTTTATCGGTGAGTTTTATTTCAGCTATTTCACAAATTATGTTATTTCAGTTTTAATTCACTTTCTTTTTGTTCCAGGGTGGGTTCATTAGGCAATCTTTAAAGGAGAGATATACAGCTAAGTTAACGTTGATAAATTCCATATATCACATTTTAATTAATGCAGCAATTACAGCCGGAAATTTCCAGTAGTCATTTTGTTACTTTATTTTATTTGATTTTCATTTACATTCGCCTTATTACACATACCTTTGCTAGATTTACTGAAATGTATGAATCATAAAAAATGGTTTGAAAACATGATTCGAACAAACAGACCATTTATGAAAATCAAATCATAAATTTCTTACCTGGATAAAGACTTTTCGGCAAACATAATCAAAATTTTCTCATAACCTTTTCGGCCTTGGGGTAGTGGTTTGTAGCATTTTTATTTTGAGTAGAAACCAAATCAATATCTTTACAGAGTTGTGGTACCTTTTACCTCAGTAACGTAAACTGAAAATCGATATCAATTCCATTGATATTGATCACTTCACAAACACCTACGACAATTTCTCAAGCAGTTGAACTGCTTTCAACCCAGTTAGAAAACTACACACCAGTCATATTCAACAGCCTATATTTTCCTCACCACTGTACTCTGATGCTTTCATACTGATGGTTATTGCTTGGTTTGGAAATTCTTTGATTCCGTCGTGGAATTTAATAAACTTGCTATGAGCTACGAAAAAGGTTTCCAGACTTGCTTTTATTCATTTTGTTTGTTTAACCTAAGTGCAGGACGTAAGCTAGAATCTCTAATACATGTATACGGTATGTGCTTGATAATTACGAAATTCAAATGTTATTCAGCCGCTTAAATATGTAATGCAGTGTGGAAACCGAGGCCCTAAGTTGTTGAGGATAAATTGATAATTAATCCACGAAAATACATTGTATTTTGTGTCCATGCTTTAATCATCTTCGCGTGATAAGTCAGAGAACGAGCCCAGAATGACTTTTACAGTGTTCATTCTATTAAAACACATTCACCACTGTGTAATTAAGGACCAAATACCAAAAGTTGTGTTGTAAAACATTTGCGTGGTTGCATAAAGTCAGAAGACTTTATTTCATTTTCTTTTACTTATTTGTGGAGACGTTTGGGTTTACCGGAAGCCCTCTATTATTTCACAACAGTTGCCAATAAATACACCTTCCATTAAAATTTTCAAATTGTAACACGGTAAGAACATAGCGTACTTAGTGAAAACACTGCACAAATAAAATAAATGAACAAAGGGAAAGCAATCTGTGTGTTAACTCCTAGGCATCGTGATATAATTATAATACTTATAATAATTTGGAAATTTCATTTTTTATATTAAATTAGCCTAGAGATCTGTATAGGTGCATCTTTATAGCAGCATAACCCACCTGTTTAAGACAGAGACAATCAAAACAACCAATTTTCAAGCAAGGTTCTTCCTATAATGCATCTACATTAATACTGAAATATAAATCCTTCAATCTTATTACACATTGTACATGTTTTTACACTCATATGTACAACTCAAGTAAACATCACAGAAACGTTACGGTATTAGCGCTATAGCGTATCGAATCAAGCATAGCCAAATATACATAACTCGGCTATAACATCACAAAAAATCCTTGAAATTTCTTGTTATTACCCTGTACACTGTGTGCACATTTAAAAAAAAGATAAAAAGAACTTGAAAGAATCATTGCAAAATACATGCCTGACACACAGAAAGTGACAACTGCCATCTTTTTCTTCTGAAAATCCCACAATGCGGTTAATTATGAGCTGACTGATTCCTTGTCCTTAGTGTCATCCACTGGATTGCAAGGTCGGCTCGTAAGTGCCCAACCCTTGTACAGGTGATACGGCTCAACCCGGGACAGCTTGACATCGTTGGACGACCTGCTGCTCGCTAGATGTCCCTCACCCAAGTGCGGTTCAGCAGCAGTGGTCGCTTTCCCGAAATCAGGTCGTTTTCTGATTCTCTCTACCGGAGCCTGGCTTGATTTATCCAGACGATCTTGTCTCGATTCATGGGGATTCTTTATGTTCGGTTCACCAACTTCTAGCGAAATGTCTTTGGAGGGGACGGCGCCAAGTGTCTTAGAGTTGATAAACCGTTTATCCGGTACGGCGTACAAAGCCTCAATACCCTTTCCCCCCATTGTTGAACTCTTCTTTGTTTCTATGAGATCACCATGCAGTTTGGCGGTGCCTTCGAATGCAGGTTCATCGGCCTTACTTGGGTCTTGGTTAGCAATGGACTACTGGCTCAAGTTCTGTGCAACACCGTTCACAGTTGTCGATGCTTTGGGTAGTTCATCCGACTTTGTGTCCGGAGAGATCACTTGTGTACTCGATGGTGCAACGAGACCCAGCTGTGTGTTTGTCACGCCGCTTTCGTAGGTGCCTGGTTCGTCGTTTGTAGTCCCCGGTGACGGGTGGGTTGGATTGGCGCCTAGCTTGGCTGGAGCTTTGAAAAGCAGAACACACATTAGCAATGCGATGGCGACCAGCAAAAAAACAGCGCCAACAGCCCCTCCTACCAAGATAGTAGTAGAGTGGATCGGGGAGGGCCTAGGGTCGTCATTTGTGTCTTTGATCGTAGGGATTTCTCGAATGGTTGTAGATTGGATTGCAGATCGGCTCCCTGTTGGGGCATTCGTTGGATCAAAATACGTCGTCGTGAACTGTACGGCAGACGTTCGCGACCCAAACAAATCTTCCTGTCGATTCGAAGTGTTGGGTGTTGTCTCCTCTTGTGAAGCAACATCATTCTTTGGGTAAACAAAGATTAAGTCAGCTTGTGTCTGCCTCGTCATCGTAAAGGATCCGTTCAACAAACTGCATGACACTTTGGTGTTGTTGAAGTCTGCCCTTGGCTCCGATATCGTAAGATTTTTTCCATGATCGCTGAATAACTGAAATGGTGGGAGCGTAGAATTTTTTTTCAATGTTCCATTTATGTACCACCGATATGTAAAGATGTTCTCGATTGGCTGAGTCGTCTGACAGTGTAAAGAGATAGAATTCGCAGATGTTGTATTAACAAGTGTTGGTTTGACAACCGTGTTTACCGGCTGTGTTACGGTGAGTCTCGCGACTTCAGAGTCGATATACTGAGCGTCGGCAAGACAGAAGAATTTGCACCAGAATGTTCCACTATCACTTTCATGAACACCTTGAATATGTAAAGACCATTCCTGCCTCTCTAATGTTACTTGGTATCGTTCATCAGAAACGGTGACAGAATCAGATTGGGATAATG